TCTATCTTCTAGTAAAAATATCTAACCGATATTTCCACCTTGCAGTTAAACATGTTCCGGAACCTCTACGACATCGAACACCACCATCTTGTGGACGACTTCCGGCCCCTGCAGAAGGTCAATCATCGGAGAGTCTACACCACAAAGAAGGGGACACAAACCTTAAACAACCTGGGGGTGGGGGTCACAACCATGCTGGGATGGGTCACAACAAGCCAGATAATTTTACTCGTGCACATGCTAGCTCAGTTTTAAATTGTTGAATGCTTTAATTAATGTTTGAATAAACTAGTAAGCGTTTCAGGATGTTAATTAATTATAAAATATATTTTAATTTAAAGTAAGAAAAACTTAACCAATGGAAAGATTAACTTAAATGATAATTAAATTTTGTGATTGACGGTTAGACTATTAGAAATTTTGAAAATAAAAAATATAATTATGATTTGAATTTTTTTTAAATTTTGGTCGAAAATCTTAATCGATACCTTCATATTTTAATTAATGGCTAGATTATTACTGATATAGACTGACATTTAATAAAATTTGCATTATATAATAATATAAAAGTGTGATTTGCCCAGCCAGTGCCCAAAGGGGCTTACATTGTACTTGTGTTAAAGATTTTTTTAAATAATTTAAATCTTGTAAACGCTATTCATTTGATAAGACAAACTAGTACTATTCTGACTGACAGATGTCAGCTAGACACGATCCAGGCACCTCAGTTTAAAAGGAGGTAATTTTTTAATGGTGATGGAAGTATTGGGGGTTGAGGCCGCGGTACGGTTAGACTTCAGGCAAGTCTAATGTTTGGATTGGTTTTTGTCATCGTTTAATGTCTCTGTTGTATTAGGAGTGTTAGGAATGTCACTTCTTGTTTTTGACGAGGCAGGAGAGTAGGCCTACCTATAATTATTTTTTTATTACATCAATTTGTGTTCAATAAGTCTAGTTAAAAATGTCTATCTGAGTCAGTTAACTATTCTGAGCTAGTATGTGTGAAAGAGCTAGATATATAAATACACACACACACACATATATATATATATATATATATATATATATATATATATATATATATATATATATATATACATATACATATACATATACATATACATATACATATACATATACATATACATATACATATACATATACATATACATATACATATACATATACATATACATATACATATACATATACATATACATATACATATACATATACATATACATATACATATACATATACATATACATATACATATACATATACATATACATATACATATACATATACATATACATATACATATACATATACATATACATATACATATACATATACATATACATATACATATACACATACACATACACATACACATACACATACACATACACATACACATACACATACACATACACATACACATACACATACACATACACATACACATACACATACACATATATATACACATATACATATATATATATATATATATATATATATATATATATATATATATATATATATATATATATATGTATGTATATTCTGATACATTTTAACTATACAGATTTATAAGTATTAAGTCATATTTCTAGCTGCGCGTTTTGTATATATGCAATCTTTAAGTAGTCAGTAATATTTTGATACAGCCTTGTAAACTTAATGTCTTTTTCCAATGTATAGAACAGTGTTTACTTGAATACTAGTTGTCAATCCAGAATGTACTGATAATCGGTTGACACTCGAGATAGTCACAGATTCTCTCCCCTGTGTATGACTTGTATATAGCTTTTGTGTGGGAGGCAATCTGCCTCTAGTACAGGTGCTTTCCCCTACATTAGAATTGTAAGTAAAACAGCTATTTCCACGTCTGTCTAACTGTAGTTAGTTGTATAGTTATATTCGAATCATTATTAAATGTCAAAATACGAAAATATTTTCCCGTTCTTTTAATATTACCCACACAGCCATAGACATTGATAGGATAGATTGAATAGAAAACAATAATTTGTATCGATGTAGCACAAAAAAATATCTTAGTAGGCCTATGTACTAATACCTCAAAATTTGTTTTTTAAGACAAGTTTAATTTTTAAATTATAATTTACTGTACATTGTATTATAGATTATTTCTAATATGTTAGCGATTATGTTATGAATTAGTGAATAAATTGTAAGTTAAATGAGTTTCTTGTTTTTTAATTAATTGAATGTTTTGTTACGTAATGACTTATCTCTGACTACGGTCTGAAAGTTTTACATGTGGCGTTGTGATACTTCAAGTAAAATAATTTTTACTTTCAAATAGGCTAGTATACATTTTGGCGCCCACTACTCCCCCCTCCCCCCTTTAATCAGTATGTATAGCGCCCTAATTCGCCTTAATGGTAGAGCCGGTCCTAAAGCTAAGGCAACTTTAATGTCAATTATGCAATGATGCAATGCAATGTCAATTATGCAATAATGGAATGTCAATTATGCAATGAGGCAAAGTCAATTATGCAATGAATTAATGTCAAGTAATCAATGATGCAATGTCAAGTATGCAATGATGCAATGTCAAGTATGCAATAATGCAATGTCAAGTATGCAATAATGCAATTTCAAGTAAGCCATCATGCAATGTCAAGTATGCAATGATGCAATGTCAAGTATGCAATTTTGGAACTTTTGTAGCCGATAGCTGGAGGTGAGGACAAAAATTTATATTTATTTTGTAACAAATATGTTGAAAATCTTACTAACTTTATTACCATTATAGTTTATCATGGACAGAAAATAAAATAATTTTTTATGTGAAGACAGGTAACGCCGTAAGCATGGGCATAAAAATATCCTTTCTATAAGGAATGGTACCGCTTTAAGTCGTATAGGGATTTAAAAAATGGCTTTATATAAGGATGTATTCCAACCCCTGTAAATACACTCAGCGTAATCATAATATTCATAATCAAACAGGTGCAAAAATTGTTTGTATTTGTTAAAAATAGACGTGCTAATAATTCTATCGACGGTCTTACCAATTAGCACCGTTCCGCACCGCGCATACACAATGTTCAACAGCGCGATGACAAGCTTTATGGAAAGGAAATAGAATAGTTAATGAAAGAAAGTTGTTGCTTCGATTGTATGAGAGAACATTGGACAAGGTGAGCTTTTTCATTGAAACAGGGTTTTCATACGACAGCAGGTAAACGTATTCGTAAACAAAACAAATGAGGAAGTTAGGTCTAAACGGGTAAATAAATAATGACAAAATGTAAGAGAAAATATGTTTGTCTTACTAAAGTGAAAATTGGGTTTTAGTTATAGATCTAGTAACTTAGGCTTGATGAAAATATATAGATATGTAGCCTAAAGCATTAAACACAAAAGTAATATTTTCAAGTTCTATGGATAAAATCTCATGGGCAAAACTTCGCAGACAAAATACCTCATCGCGCATATATTTAGATATTCGTCGATTGAACATTTTGTTTGACTGCGCATGAGGCATGCTTACATTTATTTACTTATTTCATAGACTAGATGACCCCCCCCCCCCCCACACTCCCGGCCAATATATTCAACATATTAAACATTAAGCATAGTCAACCAGAAGCAAATGTTTCTTTATTTCCCTGTTAAAAATGTGGGACGGTGTGGTCAAATGGTAGAGCGTTCGACTGCTAAGTCTTGAGTTCGGATCACGGGCTCAAGTCCCTGAGTCAACCCAGCTCTGATGGGTACCTGACTCACCTTGTGGAAAGTAGAGGCGGCTTGGCATAGTGCTAACCATACCATCCCTTTATATGTCGGGATCAAGTAACATAAACTCGACTTCATATGCACTATGAACCTTTAGGTCTAAAGGGGGGGGGAGAGTTTCTTCCAGGCATCTCTTCCCCCCCCCCCCTCTCCTTGAACGAAATGGAATTTATATAGAAAATATAAACATTTAACAGTGTCCCTCGTCCCTCCCTCCCGGAATTTTAATCAGCCCCCCCCCCCCAAAAAAAATTTTAAGTTATTGTTGTAACTTCACTATAGAGTTTAGGTACCTCTCGGCGTATTTGTTTACTTGCTTATCAATTAGAGCAATTGCAAGAACAGCTTTGAACAGTACGATGAAAGGTACCCTGGTAGAAAGGAAATGAAAAGACTTGGTAAACGAATTGAGAATTGTCGCTTATATTTTTATTATGTATAGATCTAAATAATTTTTTTTTTAAAGGTGAGCTATTTGTTACAAATTTTTGTAGAACTTAAACCTACGACATTATAAAATACGAGCCGACCCGCTGCGTATCATACGCCGCTATTTAGTTGTTTTTTTTTTCTACTTTTCAGTAATTTATAATTTGTGAATTCGACAGTACCAATGCTGCCATTGAAAATATTTGCTTAAAAACACTAACCCCCCCCCCCCTCCACGTGAAAGCAGCCTCCTCTTAGTTACCTCCTCTAAGTTTAAAATCGTTTCAAACTAAATTATCTGCCCCTAATAGCCGTCACCAAACCCGTCTCTATGATTGTAAAATGTAAACAGAGTGAACACCGCTCACCAGATCATGTTGGGGTGGGGTGGGGGTGGTAGTGATAGTGAGAGAGAGAAAGAGAGGGGACTGCAAGGAGGCGCTTAAAGCTTGTTTTCTAACTGATCCCAGAAGAGAATTATATATATAGATAGATAGTTAAAGATAAAACCGTACACAATTTAAAAAAAATAACGGTGTTCAAATAGAATCCAATTGACTTGAGATCTAGACCTTTTATATATTTGACTTCCGTACCTATGTTGTTTGCAACGTATCTGTGTATTGTTCATGCTTATTTAAAATTCAACAAGCACATAAAACATGATACAAAACATATAAAATATGTTAGTTCTAGCTCTTTCTCTATAATCTATAGCTGCCGCTCCTGCTTTATTTAAGTTTTTAGCTAATTAATGTATCAAAGTTCATTAAGCCCCAAATTATTAATGTACAGAAAAAATGCCGAGTCTTCTCAATGGTGTTTCGTTCGCCGTGGTTATCCCCCTTCTCCTGTTCAGAGTTGGCGAGATTAGAGCTATGGCTGAAAGTAAGTTTGATAAATCACATGTTTGATCGTCTGTGCGTCTGTGTGTATGTGCGTCTGTTCGTCTTGGTATATGTGTGTATTTGTATGTTTGTCAGTGTGTCAATATGTCTGTGTGTATGTGCGTTTGTGTTTCTGTGTTTATTGTTTGTTTGTCTGTGTGTGTCTATGTGTTTTTTCCTTGTTTTTGTCTGTGTTTGTCCGTCTGTCATTCGGTCCGTCCGCCCTGCTGTGTGTCTATTATGTCTGTGTGTCTATTATGTCTGTGTGTCTGTAAGTCTGTGTGTCTGTGTGTCTGAACTGTTAATGTCAAGGCTGTTTATGAAAGTAAGTTTCTCCAATCACACGGTTGACCGTCTGTCTGTGTGTTTGTGTGTCTGTGTGTTTCTCTCTGTGTTTGTCTGTGTGTACTTCTTTCCGTCTGTCATTCTGCCTGTTCATCTGTCCGCCCTTCCGTCCGTGTAACTTCAATAAACATACAAACATATATATATATATATATATATATATATATATATATATATATATATATATATATATATATATATCAATGTACAAATAGTTACTTATATTAATACAAACAATATAAAAATCATGTAAAATGGTATAAAATAAATAATGATTGTGTATCATTTTCTAACATTAAGTTCAAACTAGATATTTAAATCGAGGACTCAATTGTTATTAATAGTTACCTTAAGTACTCCATATCTTGTTACACATCACATTTTTAATAGTTACCTTAAGTACTCCATATCTTGTTACACATCACATTTGTATACTTTCTCGTATACAGAGTATAGGAGAAGTATTGTAATCGTGCACAAGAATTAAATGAAAATTTGACAGTTTTCGCCTTTTTATTCCTTCCTACATTATCGTATACGGAACAATTGCAATCGTATTCTTGCAAAAATAGAAATCAAAATTTTGAAAAATCTCGACGGTTCACAACTTCAGGAGCCAAAAAAAACGTATTTCATGCCATCTTGTCTGTCCGTAAACATGAGTACCGTTTCGGTTAGGTAGACAAAATTTCATATATGCGTACTTTATCAAATGTGTAGTGTTCCGTAAAAAAAATTTTTTCTATTTTCAATACTCTAAGGTGGTACTTTACTTTGGGTTTCTCAAAAGTCAATAACTTGAGTACCTTAAGTTAGTTGGACGAAGTTTAAAAAATAAGTATCACATTGTATGCGCAGATTTCGATCAACTTTTCAACAATTTCCGGTAACAGGAACAGGTAATTCATTTCCGTGTGAAAAAGATAACTATAGTACTGTATCAGTAAGGCGTACGAAATTTCATACAAACGTATAATTTTGATTTTTGAGTGACCTTCAATAAAAGAAAGTGGTTCTTTATTTCTAATGTCTAAAATACCGATAACTGTACTGTTTAAGTTAAATAGACGAAATTATTTCAACCGTAGGTACTAATCTTATTCTCTTAAATCTTGCCAATTTTAAGTGATTTCCGGTGACCGGATTTAGTACTATTGCCGAATTCTCAAAAAAACACTTGATCATTTTATATCTCACTTTCGGTTGTTGTTTTTACATTCTCGTATATACGAAGTATAGAGAAAGTCTTGTAATCGTGCAAAATAAAAAAATCGAGATTTTTGCAAATCTCGACGTTTTACACCTCACTGATATGGAAAAAAAACATAATTTTGCAATCTTTTCCGTATGTCTGTGTGTATGTGTGTGTGTGTGCCTGTCTGTCTGTCTGTGTGTGTTTAAACACGATAACTTGAGTACCGTTACAGCTAGGTTGATGAAATTTTATATATAAGTATTTTATCAAAATCGTAGATCCATATCAACTTTGGAGCGATTTCCGATAACCGGAAGTGGTACTTTTTCTGCTTTGAATTTTTTTAAAGTATAACTTGAGTACTATTTGAGATAGATAAATGAAATTTCAAATGTAAGTAAAAGATCTAATCCTCTACCTTCTATCAAATTTTGAGTAATTTACGTTAACCTGGAGGTAGTAATTTACGCTATTTTCGATTTCTCAAAAAACGCATGTAAATTTATAAAGTACTAATAATATTCCGCACTATTATGCATATTTTGTTTATGGCGTTTGCTTGGTGCGCAATTATTTTTTCTACGAGATTCTATTCTATTTTTTTAAAAATCATGTCTATATTCCGAGTTGCCGTCCCTCGTAGTGTTATATAAGAACATTCGAGAATGTTTAGAGGAGATCACTCCCGGTTTATTTTCTATTCGATTCGATTCGATTTAAAGTGTAAATAATAGTGCAAAAAATTAGTGCGTTATAGTGAGGGCTTTCGCCAATTTTCGCTTTGTCAAAGACCATCAGAATTTAATAATTCATATTCTCATAAAGCGTATTCTAAGAATTTTTCTCTCTATGTCTTCTTAAAAAAACGTGCGTTTTTGTACTAACTTTATATAGCTCCAGAGCTATAGAAGGTGCCACCCACCCAGAGGCGTAGCTAGGGGGGGGGGGGGCGGGGGGGCTGCCGCCCCGGGCGCCGACCCTATGGGGGCGCCAAAAGGGGTGGGAAAAATTTTTTAAAGCTGATTTTATGCTGCAGTTTTGAATTATAAACTGTCTAAGTTAAGAAATGTAATGGCTACACGCCTTTACATACTGATTTAACTGTTTTCTACCTTGATTTCTTAATGTAAAACATATACTCTTAAGAAACAGTGACCGGCAAAACCGCTTTGAAGCTTTTCCTAGATGGGGGGGGGGGCGCATTTTCGAGACTTAAAACGGAAGAATTTACACTAGATTGTTGAGTCGATAAACGTTACCACTATTAAAAGAAACCAATTGTATTAAAACGTATTGTACGATTGTTGAACTGTAAAATACGTTCGTGACTTTTATCAAGATGGTGCAGGGGGGGGGGGGGCGCTTTTAGGCTAAATAAAATAGCAAAATTACACAGGATTCTGAGTAAACAACCTTTAGCTCTCAGAAAGAAACGAATTGTACTGTGCATTGTATAACTGTGTAACATTTAAAAAAAATTTAGTTACGTTAAAAACCGCTCTACAAACTTTGTCCAAGATGGTTGTGATGAGTGTATGTGGGGGTGGGGGGGGGGGGCGCTTTTTTCGCTAACAAAAATCGCAAGTATTTGTACTGGATTGGTGAGTAGATAACTCTCTTAACACTTAGTAAAGAAACCAAGTGTATTAACGCGTAATGTACAATTTCAATAGCCAGTTTTGTTAAAAAAAAAGACGCGACTAGTTCTTTGTAAGATTCTTACGATTCTCTCAACTTCAACGTGAGAGATCAGATACTTTTGATCAGTGTTTCTTCCAGACTTTTTTCTCCGGGGTGGGGCACTTGAAATCTTCGGGGGGGGGGGGGGGCGGTAAACTTTTTTCGGGGAGGCGGACATTGTTAAAAGTATATATTTTCTATATAAATTATATAAATTTCATTTCGTTCGGGGGGGGGGGGGCGGACACTGTTAAAAGTATATATTTTCTATATATAAATTATATAAATTTCATTTCGTTCGGGGGGGGGGCGTAAAAAAATTACCGGGGGGCTTTTCCCCCCCCCCCCCCCGAAAAGATGCCTGGAAGAAACTGTGTGCGAGAAGGCAGGGCAAATCTGCGAAATCCAAGACTACGAGCTGTTAACATCTGTTGGATTCCAGTTTGTTTTCTCTAGCTTGTTTTGTCATACCATCAACCAATCAACGAAATACCCATGTCGTATTCCAATGTGAACTATAAATATTTCTGATAACTTTTTCTTGTATGTCACTTGAGTGTCCTTACTCTAATAAACTTCGAATCCAACTATGTACCATATCACAACAGAGATCGTTCCAAAACTAGAACATAAAAGGCTGGTCTAAACATATTAGCGTTAGCTACAAACTACCCTCTAACACAGATCAGGCTTATTTTTTTTTTACTGACATTACTAATCTTTCGCAAAAAAAGTTAAACGCATCTTAATGGGAATTAAATTGTCGTAAAGTTTTAAGTTATGAAAATCATACAATGTAATTATTAAACCTTGTCCGGACTGTAGCACACACGCTTACACACACGCTTACAAACACAAATACACTCTTACCCACACACAAGCTTATATATAAACACACTATCACACACATAATTATACACACACACATGTATATATATATATATATATATATATATATATATATATATATATATATATATATATATATATATATATATAAGGGGGGGGCGCCAAATTGAAAGTTCGCCCCGGGCGCCGGGAAGGGTCGCTACGCCTCTGCACCCACCTTAAAATTACAGATAGATAAGAATATACAAGAATATACGAGAATGTCTAGTAGAGATCACTCCGGCTTTATTTATTTCAAACGCAAAAAACATGTAGGTGATTTTATTTATTGGCACGTCACGAAATAAAATAAAATAAAATAAAAATAAAATAAAATAAAATAAAATAAAATAAAATAAAATAAAATAAAATAAAATAAAATAAAATAAAATAAAATAAAATAAAATAAAATAAAATAAAATAAAATAAAATAAAATAAAATAAAATAAAATAAAATAAAATAAAATAAAATAAAATAAAATAAAATAAAATAAAATAAAATAAAATAAAATAAAATAAAATAAAATAAAATAAAATAAAATAAAATAAAATAAAATAAAATAAAATAAAATAAAATAAAATAAAATATATCTATTTCAGCCTGGAGCTACGACCAAAATAGATCTTTTCGTGAGTAGCTTATGTTTTATGAAATTTTGTTTATAATTAGTTGTCTTTAATCTGTCTGTACTTACCATCGTTTCCAGCTAAATACACTGGAGATAAGGTATGGTCTGGTTTTGTGCTAGTAGCTGTGACAATGAACATAATCATGATAGACTGCTGACATTAATGAGAAAAGGCCAAAAAAAACCGAAGAAAAAATAAGAAAAGATAATGTATAAGAAAACATTTTTGAAATGATTTCTACTGACTTATGAAAATTGTCGGAGAATTTATGATTCTAAAATGCACCGAAAAATTGAATGTGTCTTGAGAAAGAATCGACCAGATCTATTTTTTGTTATGTCATGTGAACTGTTATCAGTTATTTAATTTTTATGATTCCAGAAAAAAAAATTGTATCCACATAGACACAGCTTTCATCAGTGTGGAGCCATTGGTTTATTTCATTCAAACAATGGAACATTTACAAGTGGACATTCTCTTCTACTCTCCCCTCCCCAGACCCAGGGAACTGGAGGCTCAGGTACCCCCACTGTGGGGGAGTGAAACAGTCCCCCATCAACATCCTGACCAACACGGTGCTGTATGACCCTCTGCTGCCTCATTTTGATTTGTCCCAATATAACAGGACAGAGGATGTGTGCATGCAGTTTCTCAACAAAGACGGTCGTACAGGTGTGTTAGTAGTGATGGTAGATGTAGGTCATACATGTGTGTTAGTTGTGGTCGTACATGTAGGTCATACAGGTGTGTTTGTTGTGATGCTAGATGTAGGTCATGCAGGTGTGTTAGTTGTTGTCGTACATGTAGGTCATACATGTGTGTTTGTTGTGATAGTAGATGTAGGCCATACAGGTGTGTTAGTGTGATGGTAGATGTAGGTCATACAGGTGTGTTAGTTGTGGTCTTAGATGTAGGTCATACAAGTGTGTGTGTTGTGATGGTAGATGTAGGTCATTCTGGTGTGCTTGTTATGATGGTAGATCGAGGTCATAAAGGTGCTAGTTGAGACAGTATATGTAGGTAATACATGTGTTAGTTATGATGGTAGATGGAGGTCATTCTGGTGTGTTTGTTGTGATGGTAGATGGATGTTTTAGATTTGTATTCACAATAATCAGTGATGTTGGTTTATTTGTTTGTTTGTGCCTGAACTTGATTGCTCTCAATTCCGACAGTTCGCGTATTTGTTTGTTGTTTTTAAACAGTGCAAGTAAGGTATAAAGGACACAGCATATTCATCAAAGAAGGCGGACTGCCTACGTCATACAAGCTTGACCAGTTTCACTTTCACTGGGGTGCTGATGACGACCGGGGTTCAGAAAATAGCCTCGACAACATCACTTTTCCCATGGAGGTTAGAGAGTTATTGCTTTGATCGTTTGTGTCATCATCATTTAATGAAAGGTGTCATTTATTTACTGGCATTGTCATTTTTTGTCATGTTTACTATTAGCTTTTAGTGACATTGTGAGATTTGACTTAGGAGTTTGTTATCCACTGACATTATCATTTTAATTCTCGTATAATTTACATGCTTTCTGGAAAGATAACATCGTAGTTGGCATTTTGTTTCATCTGTCAATAGCCACAGAACACTGTATCAGCTCTAGTTGTCATTTCTTCATTGACATTAGGTGTCATTTGGAATTTGGATTTTGACACTAGGCTATATTTGTAATCGTTTGATTGGATTTTATTTAATATACGTCATCGCTTTGTGGATAGTACAGGTCATTTTTGTATTTAGTGATTTAGCTTCCTTTAATTAAATATAAGTTCTAAATTTTGTATACAGTTTGAACATACACTAAAATACAAAACAATAACAAGAAATTTATATTAGGAAGTTTTTGTTATTGATTTTGTAATTTTCGGTTGATTGGCATTTTCTTTCAAATCACATATAATATAAAAAATCATCTCTCTATTGACATTATGCGTAGGTATTTGTTTTTAGTGATTTAGCTTTTTATTATACAGTTCTAAAACATATATATATATATATATATATATATATATATATATATATATATATATATATATATATATATATATATATATATATATATATATATAGGTGCACATAGTTCATCGCCAGCACAGTTTGAACTCTTTTAGAAATGCAGCTTCTTACCCATCAGGTCTAGCTGTAATTGGAGTCTTTTTTAAGGTACCCCTTATATCATGATTTTAAAATCTTAAGAATTGAGGGAATCGAGGTGTGGTTTTACGCTTTCATATTGTTACACGTAGTTGATATTTTCTAGTACTACATAAATCTTGTCCGTATGTCTGTGTGTCGGTGTGTGTGTCTGTCTGTCTGTCTGTGTGTAAACACGATAACTTGAGTACCGTTACAGCTAGGTTGATGAAATTTCATACGTAAGTATTTTATCAAAATTGTAGATCCGTATCAACTTTTGAGCGATTTCCAATATTCGGAAGTGGTACTTTTTCTACTTTGAATTTTTCAAAAGCCTATAACTTGAGTACTATTTCAGATAGATAAATGAAATTTCACATGTAAGTAAAGTGTAAGTAAAAGATCTAATTCTCTACATTCTGTCAAATTTTGAGTAATTTCCGTTGACGGGAAGTACTAATTTACGCTATTTCCGATTTCTCAACAAAGCATCTAAATTTATAAAGTACTAATAATATTGCGCACCATTATGAACATCTTTATTCTGAATTCGCTAGGTGCGCAATTCTTCTTTCTATGAGATTCTATTCTATTTTAAAAAGTTTAAGTATTTAAAATGGATTAAAAATCATAACTATATCCCGAGTTCCCATCCTCTGTTGTTTTATATAAGAATATTCGAGAAAGTTTAGGGGAGATCACTCCCGGTTTATTTTCATTGCAACCAGGTTGTGGCAGAAGATAACGAGAAGTTGAACAGGCATCTTTTACAATATTTTTCCAAGGTTAACCAATCGGGTAATAATGTGACTTGTGAAACTTTATGATTAAAATAGATTTATATTACTATTTAACTAAATACTTCGCAAATTACCGCCAAATACATTATCGGTTTCCAAAGCAAAAACAAAAATTTAATTTATATTATGTTTGTAGGTTTGTTGTTTTAAAATGGGATAAATCTAACCACAAACACTTGATCAATCAAACTTAACATTCATTTGCCAAATCGTAAAAACAAACCAGTGGACAATCAATTTAAAAGCTTATGGATACTAAAGTAAAATTCTTTCTGAATCTGACGGTCATGGGGCTAAAGTGAACAGGAGTTTACCTGTTTCTGTGATCTCAGCCGCCTTTACTTTCCCTAACGTGAGCCAGATACCTATCAGAACTGGGTGAACTAAAAGACGCTCTACGGACTTGAACCAGGATTAGAACTCTTAGCAGTTGTATGCTCTACCATTCGAACACGCCGTCCCATTAACGGATATTAAATATTCAAAATTTATTTCTTCTTTGCTCGAAAAGTCTTACTGTACTAGACTAAAAAATATATTTCGACCATTTCTTGCATTATTTTATTTTATTTTGTTTTAACAGGCCAGGCGACTTTAATACCGACCTTCGCCTTGTCTGAAATCCTGCCCGACATAAACAATCTGGACTACTACCGTTTCGACGGCAGTCTAACGACGCCCCCTTGTTACGAGTCGGTCATCTGGTCAGTGGCCACAGAGTTTATTCCCATCTCAGAATCTCAGGTCAGTATGTGGGTGAGGAAGGTCAAGGTTGCTGTGTGGGTTCTGAGATGTACATTCTACAATGTTGTTTTCTAAAAGTTGGACTAAGTTTGTTGAAAATAGAGCCCCTATGCCACTTTTGTCTGAAATATATATTCTACAATGTTTTCTAAAGTTTCGAATGAGCTTGTTGAAAAATAGAGCCGCTATGTCTCTTTTGTGTGAGATATATATTCTACAATGTTTTCTAAAGGTTTGACTGAGCTTGTTGGAAAAAAAGGGCCCCGAGACAGATTTTTTTCTATTATTTTATTATAGTTCTATATTAGTTTTACCTATCCTCGCTTTAATATCTGCTCCTGTGGACAACGAGAAGGAACAGATTCTGATTTTTAAAGCGAGGATAGGTAAAGCAAGACTAGCCTTAACACAGCTAGTAGACATCTGGATTTCCAGTGAGCTCTCTTTGACCACCAAGATGCGTCTGTTCAACTCCAACGTAAAATCAGTGTTGTTGAATTGGGTGAAGACTTGGCAGACGACAAAGACGAACTTATAAACAGCTGCTTCAGACAAATAATCAATATCCACTGGCACAAACTCATCACAAACGTTCACTTATGAGAAACAGGGAAACTTGCAGTTGCAGAAGTAATTAAGAGAAGAAGATAGTTGTATAGGGCAGAGCGACAACCAACAGGCAGACGTTGAGGTGGAACCCTCAAGGAAAGCGAAGAAAATAAAGGCGACGTGGCCTTGAGGCTGAAAACACAAAGATGGGCGACACCTGGAGTCAGATTGGTAAGATGGAATAGGACAGAGGACTCTGAAGATCTTTGTTTGGTGGGCCATATCCCAGCAGCACAGAGGACTCTGAAGATCTTTGGTTGGTGGCTCATACCCCAGCAGCAGAGAGGACTCCAAAGATCTTTGGCCATATCCCAGCAGCACAGAGGACTCTGAAGATCTTTGGTTGGTGGCTCATACCCCAGCAGCACAGAGGACTCTGAAGATCTTTGGTTGGTGGCTCATACCCCAGCAGCACAGAGGACTCTGAAGATCTTTGGTTGGTGGCCCATCCCCCAACAGGACACAGTACTCTGGAGGTCATCTAGACCGATATGTAACAGTGGGGTTATATACATACTTTTATCTGCGTGTGTTTTTTATGTGTTCACACTTACTTTTATTCACTTCTGTAATTGTACGTTTGCATGAAATTTTTTTTACAAACTTTTATGTTCCACTATGGTTGCATCTACTTTTATGTACTAATGTGTACTTGTATACTTGTATGGACATGTGAACTTGTTACGTACTTTTATTTACTTGTATACTTCTATTTTATTGTTTTTAAATGTGTATTTGGCCTTGGGCTGCTAAAATATGCATATGCGCATACAAGTTGTTTTTTTTAGAATGGTAGGTGCCAATCCGTCACACTCAAACTGAAGACAATGTTTTTTTTTAAATCAACCACACGTCTATGTAATAAAATATGTAAGACACCCTAACAGAATGAATTAAAATTTGGCATACATGAAAAGATAAATTAGATTTTTATCATGTCCCTCAAGTAATTAATGTGATCGTTTATAAGACAGCATTTGCTTCGAAGGAGTTTAACTGTTTTTGGTTTAAATATCTTCGCGGCCCAGCATGTTTCTATTTTCCAATAAAAAATATGTTTCTATCTAGCAGTTAAAAATGTTTCTATCTAGCAGTTAAAAATGTTTCTATCTAGCAGTTAAAACGTTTCTATCTAGCAGTTAAACATTTTCTATCTTGCAGTTAAACATGTTCCGGAACCTCCAAACTCGCGACCAAAATCCGATGGTGGATAACTTCCGACCCCCTCAGAACTTGAATCAGCGTAGGGTGTACACAACAAAGAATTTGAATCAGCGTAGGGAGTACACAGGAAGGAGCCTGGGGGTCGGGATTACAGCCGGGGAGGGGTGGGTCACAACAAGCCAGATAATTTTACTCGCGTACACGGTAACTCAGTTTTAGGAAATAATTTAATATTATTTTTCTATGAAATGTTTAGTCTATAGCGAGTTGCAATGCTAGCATCCATTTTTCCTGTGATCGTCAGATGTTGGAGTGTTTCATTGAATACACACTGTCTAGTTAGCTTGAAATCATGATTACTATGATGGTAGTGATATTCACAAAGTCTCCTCCCTATGTATGACTGGTATATAGTTGTTAGAGGTAGATAATCTGGCTCAGACATACGTGATTTTCCCTAGGTTAAAATTATCGTAGAGCAATGCTCTCCCCTGAATTAACCGTGTACATTTCACCCAATATTCAACTTAAACAGATGTGAGTGGAGGAGTTACTTCCTTCTACCTTGTTTAACTAATTTAAACACAATTTTGCCAAACCGTAAACTAATTAAATATGAAGCTGGTTTCAGCTATTCAAATCGATTTTCAGATGTCATACAGCAGATAGGTGACGTATATGCGTTTTAGAATGCTGTAATAGATGTCACAGAAAACAATGTTTGGGATAAAAGTCTTCTTAAAAATGTGTGGGATAAAAGTTTACTTTAAAATGTGTAGGATAGATGTTATATAAAAATGTGTGGGATAGATATGTTAAAAATATGTATGATATATGTTGTATTAAAAAATGCCTGGTATACATGTAACGTAAAAAAACAAATGCCAATTAAGCGTTGCTATTTTTACCACATTATTGTTATTTAAGCACATTTTTGTTATTTCATTGTAAATTCTTTAATGTTCATTTATTAATTAATATGTATTGCATTTGTAAATAAAATAAAGTTGTTAAGAATTGTTTATAGCCACATTTTCACAGTGCTCACATGTACCTTTCCTAGACGGTTCAAATAAAACAATTCTTACATTGGGCACTTGAAGTGTATACTGAGATACGTGTACATTGAATGTATGACATAACATTAATGTAAACCAACTAAATGAAAAATTGAAGGCAGCACGTTACTGAGAAAGATGGAGACTACCACACCCAGCACTACCGCACCCAGCACTACCACACCCAGCTCTGACTACCACACCCAGCTGTGACTACCACACCCAGCACAGACTACCACACCCAGCTCTGACTACCACACCCAGCTCTGACTACCACACCCAGCTGTGACTACCACACCCAGCACAGACTACCACACCCAGCTCTGACTACCACACCCAGCTCTGACTACCACACCCAGCTCTGACTACCACATCCAGCTCTACCACCCCCAGCTCTGACTACCACACCCAGCACTACCACACCCAGCTCTGACTACCACACCCAGCTCTGACTACCACACCCAGCTGTGACTACCACATCCAGCTCTGACTACCACATCCAGCTCTACCACACCCAGCTCTGACTACCACATCCAGCTCTACCACACCCAGCTCTGACTACCACACCCAGCTCTGACTACCACACCCAGCTCTGACTACCACACCCAGCTGTGACTACCACATCTAGCTCTGACTACCACACCCAGCTCTGACTACCACACCCAGCTCTGACTACCACATCCAGCTCTGAATACCACACCCAGCTGTGACTACCACACCCAGCTCTGACTACCACACCCAGCTCTGACTACCACATCCAGCTCTGAATACCACACCCAGCTGTGACTAACACACCCAGCTCTGACTACCACACCCAGCTCTGACTACCACACCCAGCTCTGACTACCACATCCAGCTCTACCACACCCAGCTCTGACTACCACACCCAGCACTCCCACACCCAGCTCTGACTACCACACCCAGCACTACCACACCCAGCTCTGACTACCACACCCAGCTCTGACTAACACACCCAGCTCTGACTACCACACCCAGCTCTGACTACCACACCCAGCACTGACTACCATACCCAGCACTACCACACCCAGCTCTGACTACCACACCCAGCTGTGACTACCACACCCAGCTCTGACTACCACACCCAGCTGTGACTACCACACCCAGCTCTGACTACCACACCCAGCTCTGACTACCACACCCAGCTCTGACTACCACACCCAGCTCTGACTACCACACCCAGCTGTGACTACCACACCCAGCTCTGACTACCACACCCAGCTCTGACTACCACACCCAGCTCTGACTACCACACCCAGCACTACCACACCCAGCACTACCACACCCAGCTCTACCACACCCAGCTCTGACTACCACACCCAGCTCTGACTACCACAACCAGCACTACCACACCCAGCTCTGACTACCACACCCAGCTCTGACTACCACACCCAGCTGTGACTACCACACCCAGCTCTGACTACCATACCCAGCTCTGACTACCACACTTAACTGTGAGTAGTTTTCTTGTATCTCTCGGTAAAAAAAACTACGTAATATAATAGCTAAATACACCTGCGATACACCTGCGATAAGATAAGGTCTGGCTTTTTTAATTTAATGGACGTTGTGACGGTAAGGATTACGTTATAGTAAAAAAATTCTGAAGTCATTGTTTAAAAAAAAGCATTTTTTTTTCGTCAAGCTATAATTCATTTAAAAAAGACTATTTAACATTTGTAAACTTTTTCTTTTACACCCCCCCCCCCCCTCATGCCCAGGGAACTGGAGCTTCTATTACCCCAACTGTGGTGGTGTGAGACAGTCCCCCATCAACATCCTGACAAACGATGTGCTGTACGACCCTCTACTGGCTCATTTTGATTTGTCGGATTATAAGATCGCGGATGGGGTGCACATGGAGCTGGTTAATAAGGGAGGTCATACAGGTGTGTTTGTTGTGATGGTAGATGTAAGTCATACAAATGTGTTTGTTGTGATGGTAGATGTAGGTCATACAGGTGTGTTTGTTGTGATGGTAGATGTAGGTCATACAGGTGTGTTTGTTGTGATGGTAGATGTAGGTCATACAGGTGTGTTTGTTGTGATGGTAGATGTAGGTCATAGTGTTTGTTGTGATGGTAGATGTAAGTCATACAAATGTGTTAGTTGTGATGGTAGATGTAGGTCATACAGGTGTGTTATTTTGATGGTAGATGTAGGTCATGCAGGTGTGTTAGTTGTGATGGTAGATGGAGGGTCATACAGGTGTGTTTGTTGTAATGG